GGGGTTGATCTAGGAAAAACATATGACCATAAGGTGACTTTAGCACACACATGCCTTATTTGAGTGACAGTTTAATAGGTTCACATGTGGAGGAAGTCCCTCACAGCATGAGACTATCCAGAAGCTATAAAACAGAGGCCACCACTCAGAAGTGGAGGAGGGGATGGAAATTCCTGGGTGACAGAGTTATTGGAGAGGAGATTACATATCTGGGTGATTTCACTCAGCAGTTTGGCAGGGAGTCTCAGGGTCAGAGAAGTCTAAAGGGCAGCAGGGATTAGAGGTCTTTATATACCCAGGGTTTACCTTATCTGTGGCTAGCATATGTTAAGCACAGTTTCATATGGTATGCAAAGCAGGTGAGCTCTAAATAGCTAATTTGGGTTATTTTCATTATTTTATTATTTTTTAAATGTTTATATATTTTGAGAGAGTGAGCACAAGCAGAGGGAGGAGTTGAGAGAGAGAGGAGAGAGAGAACACCAAGCAGGCTCCACGCTGTCAGGGAAGAGCCTGACATGGGGCTTGATCCCATGAACCATAAGATCATGATCTGAGCTGAAACCAAGATTCAGATGCTTAACTGACTAAGAGACCCAGGCACCCCTATTTGGGTTTTTAAAACAATTGGATGTACACAAATGTTAATTTGATGCTAGCAGGCTTTTGAGCTAATGAGTCACAGCCTGTTATGAAGAAGTAAACAACCTGGTGGGTGATAGTATATATACAGGCCATCTTTGTGTCATTTACATAACATGGAATCAAACTATAAATCAACAACAGAAAAACAACAGAGAAGCCTCCAAATGCTTATAAATTAAACAGCACACTTCTTTGTAATCATTGGATAGAGGAAGAAGTCTCAAATGGAATAAAAAATACATAGAACTGAGTAAAAAGGAAAACATCAAAACTGATAAGACATAGTTAACACAGCATTGAAACGAATGTATAGAACTAGATGCATATAGTGGAATATAGAGACTTTCAAATAAATAATCTAAGCTCCCACCTCGAGAGCTTAGAGGAAGAAGGGCAAACTAAACCCAAAGCAAAGAGGAGGAAGGAAATAATAAAGATAAGAGCAAATATCAATGAATTTGAAAACTAGAAAATAATAGAGAAAAATCAGTGAAGCAAAAGAAGGTGCTCTTCAAAATCAATAAAACGAATAAACCTCTAATAAGAATAGCAAAAATAAAGAGAAAAGATGCCAATCACCAATGTTCCTGACTGAAATAGAGCATATCACTTTAGATATTGTAGAATTAAACAGATAATAAGGAATACTACCCAGAAATTTAGGTTCATATATTTGACAACGTAGAAGAAGTGGACCAAGTCCTGGAAAACCACACACTATCTATGTCAACAGGATGAATTAATCAATCTGAATAGTTGTATGGCCATTAATGAATTGATAATTAAAAGTTCCTGGAAAAGGGGTGTCCGGGCACAGATAGTATCACTGGAGGATTTTACCAAACAATCAAGAAAGAATTAACAATAATTTTACACAATCTATTTCAAAAAACGGAAAATGAAAGAGTACTTCCCAACTAATTTTATGTGGCTATTACCTAAACCAGATAAAGACAAGGGAGGCAGGAGAAGGAAGGAAGGGAAGGAGGGAGGGGGGAGGGAAAGAAAGAAAGAAAAGAGAGAGAAAGGGAAAGAGAGAGGGAGGGAGGAAAGAAGGAAGGGAAAGGGAAGGAAGGAAAAGGAAGGAAGGGAGGAAGGGAGGGAAGAAAGAAGGGAGAAGGAATAAAAGAAAAAGAAAGAAAAGAGGAAGAGGGAGGAAAGAAAGAGAGAGGGAGAGAAGAACAGAAAAGAAAGAAAGGGAGAAGGAAGAGAGAAAGAAAAGAAGGAAAGAAAGAAGAAAAGAAAATAAAAGAAAGGGGGAAAGAAGGAAAGAGAAAAGGAAAAAGTAAAAAGAAAGGGAAGAAGGGAAGAAAAGAAAAAAGAAAACTACAAACCAGTATTCTCATGAATTTAGATGCATAAATCCTCAACAAAATATTAGCACAGTTATACAGCAATGTATAAAAAATTATATACCATAGAATACTGGTTCCACATTTGAAAATGAGTCCATGTAATTCATCATATCCAGATATACAAGGCGTGTTCAACATTTGAACATCAATCATTTAATTCACTATATCAACAGCTTAAAGGAGAAAAATCATATGATACCAGTTGACATAAAATTTTTTTTCACAAAATTCAACATACAAACCGGATATAAAAACTCTCAACAAACTACTATTAGAAGGTAACTTTCTCAACTTGATAAAGCACATCTGCAAAAACCTATAGTTTACGTTGACTTAATGGTGAATGCCTGAATGCTCTTCTTCAAAGATCTGGAATAAGGCAATGTTATATGCTCTTTTTAAATATAGTACTAGAGATTTTATCCATTGTAATAAAAAAAGAAAAGGAAATAACAGATTAGAAAAAGAAGAAAACTATATTTTCAGATGAAATGATTGTATATAAAACAGTAGAGTCTAAAATAACAACAACAACACAATACTAGAAACAATAAGTGAGATCTGTAAGGTTGGACGATACAAATTCAAAATGAAAAAATCAGTAGCATTTCTATATACTAACAATGAAAATGTGGAAACAAAAAATTTTAAAACAATAGCACTTATAATAACTCCAAAGAAAATTACATACTTACAAATCTAACAGAGCATGTACACAATCTGTATCATAAAAATTACAAAATGTTGACAGAAGGAATCAAAGGCCTAAATAAATGGAGGAATATACCATGTTCATGGATTAGAAGACTCAATAAAGTAAATACTAGGTATTTATCCAAATAATACAAAAATAGTAATTAAAATATCTGATAGGTGTCAGGTAGTATCCCATTATAGTTTTGATTTGTATTTGCTTGATGATGAGTGATGTTGAGCATCTTTTCATGTGCCTCTTGGCCATCTGTATGTCTTCTTTGGAAAAATGTTTATTCATGACTTCTACCCATTTTTAAAAAAATGTTTATTTTTGAGGAACAGAGAGACAGCACAGTTGGGGGAGGAGCAGAAAGAGAGGGAGACAGAATCAGAAACAGGCTCTAGGCTTAAAGCATTGAATATACTTTGAATATACTATGTTATTCCCTTCAGGCTTGCCAAGATACTATGGAGAGATCTGCAGCTAGCCTTATGGGTCTTCCCTTGTAGGTTAGGGACTTCTTTTTTCTTGCTGCTTTTAGGATTTTTTTTCTTTATCATCATATTTTGCAAATTTAACTACAATATGTTTTGGTGTTGGCCCATTTTTGTTGATTTTGGTGGGAGTTTTCTCTGCCTCCTGGATTTGGATATCTGTTTCCTACTTCAAATTAGGGAAATTTTGAGTTATTTCCTCACATAAACCTTTTGCCTCCTTTTTTCTCTCTTATTCTTTTGGAACTTCTATGATACAAAAGTTTTTATGTTAGATGGAGTCATTGAGTTCTCTAAGTCTATTCTCATGTTCTATAATTCTTCCTTCTCTTGTTCAACTTCATTATTTCATACTATTTTGTCTTCTATATCACTAATTCATTTTTCTGCTAATTCTAGCCTGCTTTCCACCACCTCAAACCTTTTTCCAACCTCAGTTTTTGCATTCTTTATTTCTGATTCTTTTAAAACTTTTATCTCTGATAAGGGTCTCCCTGATGTCTTTTATCCTTTTGTCAAGCACAGTGAGTATCCTTATGATTGTTGCTTTAAATTCTCCATCAGTTGTGTTACTTATGTCTTCTTCACTTGATCTCTGGCTGTGACCTTATCTTGTTCTTTCATTTGGGATTAATCCCTCTGTCTTGGTATTCTGTCTAAGGCTCTGCCTTTTCCTCTGTGTTAGAAATGCCAGTTATATTTTCTGCTCCTGAGAGTAATAGCTGTATGAAAAGTGGCCATATGGTTCCCAGGGCCTGCCTGGTACATTAGGGAGTGTCTCTAATGTGTGCTGTGTGTGCCCTGCTGTTTTGGCTGCTCTATCCTTCAGGCTGGTCATCTGCAAAGGTTCTCCTTGCTTGCAGTGGACAGTGTTTGATCCTTGCCCAGAATGTGGTGAGTTTTAACTAAGTGTTCTCTGTTCTACTGGTTAAATGAGACCTGATAGTACTTCCACTAGAACTGAAGCCCTGAAGAACTCTCTGGTTGGGAATGTGATGCGGGCAATGGTTTTGCTGCTTTCTGGGGTGGGGCTAACTGCACTGGGACTGAGGCAAGCTTGACTGAGAAGGGAAGTTCTGCCAGAGAGCAGGGGTGTTGGACTTGGTATAAGCAAGTTAGGCAGCCTGTGTCAATGCTGCATTGCTTCTCACAGGTGGCTCTGTGATTATACTGAGAGGTGGGGAGGGAAATGGCTCCAACCAGCTCCTTTGTCCATCGAGAGACATGGTGCCTTTCAGAGACTGACTCCAAGAAGAGCAAATAATCTCTCCCTTGTGTGTCCCAGGTGTTCTTCAAATCTCTGCTTCCATGCTACCTGTCCCCAGGTTGTTTGGGTGTCTTCTCTCCAGGAGATGGGCAGTGCCCTCAGTGCTCTATCCCAGCCAAGCTCACTGACCTTTAAAACTCAAAGCTTTAAGCCACATTGGTGTCAAAGACTCACAAAAATCATACCCTCCCTTTTTCCCAGGCAGTGGCTTTGAGGAAATGTTCTCCTCGTGTGATCCCCTATGTGTCCTCTCTGTCTCTCACCCTTCTCTGCAACTATGGCTTCCTCCCCTCTATAGTACCCAGGATACATTTCTCCCCTAACCCATGTCTCCACAGTTACTACCTTCTTGAATGTGGCCTCTTCTTTCCCTTTAGTTGTACAATTTGCTTTATCAGTCTTCAGGGTGATTTCTGGGGTATTTAGGATGATTTTTTAAAGATTTTTAAGTAATCTCAACACACAACATGGATCTCAAACTCACAGCCCCAAGATCAAGAGTCACATGCAGATACACCTAGTTAGGATATTTTGATAGTTACCTGGTTGTGTTTACATGATGAGATGAGCCTAGGGCCTTTCTACTTTGTGGCCATCTTCTATACCTCTCCTGATTTAACACAATTTCTGTCTATACTCCAGCTCTTTGTAAACATAGACAAGGTCATCCTAAAATATATGTAGAAAGGCGCAGGGTTAGCATAGCTAAAATTATCTTTAAAAAGAAGGTTAAAGTAAGGAGACTATCTTTACCTGATGCTAAGGCCTACTATAGAGATACAGTAATCACAAATTAAGACAGTGTGTTATTAGAGCTGAGATAGACACAAAGATAAATGAAACAGAATAGACATGCCAGAAATAGACCCACAAAAATATGTCTGACTGGTTTTTGACAGTGATGCAAAAGCAATTCAATGGAGGAAAGATAGCCTTTTCAACAAGTGGTGTTGGAGCAACTGGACTTCCATGGGAAAATAAAACCTGACCTAAGTCTCATGCCTAAAATAAGAAACAATAATAAAGCCAAATACTGGTGAAATGTTGAGAAATTGCTCATGGGAATTAAACATTTTATAGCCACCCCTGAAAACAGTTTGGCAGTTTGTCAAAAAAACTATGCAACTTCCATGAAACCCAACAATTACACTCTTGAGCATTTATCCCAGAGAAATTCTTATATTCACAGAAAAATATAAACACAAATATTCATAGCAGCCTTATTCATAATAGACAAAAAGTGGAAACAATCCAGACTGTCCTTCAATTAGTTAATAGCTAAACAAACTGTGGTACAACCATACCATGGAATAACAGTAATTAAAAGGAACAAAGTATTGCTACATACAACTTGGATGAATCTCCAGAGAATTATGTTGACTGAAAACTGCCAATTCCAAAATGTTATACACTGTATGACTCCTATGTATTAATTTTGAAATTACAAAACTATAAAAATGAACAGATTAGTGGTTGCCAGGCATTAAATAAGGAGTGGGGGCAGGAAAGAAATGGATGAGACTATGAAAGGACTTGAGTGATCCTTGTGGAAATGTTCTGCATCTTGACTGTATATTGTCAAAATCTTGGTTATGATATTTTACTACAGTTTTATAAGATGTTACTATTGACAGAAACTGAACAAAGGGTGTATGAGTTATTTCTTACAACTCATGGGAATCTACAGTATTTCAAAATAAAGAGTTTAATTTTTATAAAGTAAAGAAAACTTACCTTAAATATTGTCCTTAAGGGTGGTGGTCAGACCTATACAATAGATAAAACTTAAACTGAGCAAGTTAAATTCATTCAGTAAGTCATAAAACAGGTTATATATGATTAACAGATTTAGAAGTTTGAAAGAATCTATCACCTAGGGCAACAAACTTGTGAATTGAAGACATCAGAATTCTAGAACAAATTCATAAAAGTCTAAGGTAATTGCTTCACAAAGTCACAAAATCATCAGAGTTCTGTGGGGAAATAAATTTCGAAGTTGTTTGAAGTTAAGAGTATTTTTATGAACCAAGGTAGACAGTGTGTTAAAGAAATGCAGTGTTTTGAGACAAACTTCTGGAGTGCTAATCTGAATTGGAAAGGACAAACATCTCTTTCAACTCATAGCTGATTCAGGTGACAGTTCCTTCACATTTATAGAGCCCCTTCATAAATTAAGACTTTCAAGTTATAGCTTAGTTTGTTTCTATTTAAACCCTGACAATGACAGGATATTAAATCATTTCCCCAAAGATCAGGATGCAGGAAAGGTGGAGAGGAATGGGGAATTTGATTTCGCCTACCAATTAAAGGCAGTGTTTGGTGATGGTAAGAAAACTAGTATGATATAGTAAAAAGACCTTGGATTTTACAGGCAAAAATATCTAGGTTCAAATGCAGAGTCTTCCACTTTCATGGTCATATAACTTTGGGCAATTTACATCTTAGTTTCAGTTTTGTCATCTGCAAAATGATTATACTATCATCTATTTCAAAGAATTTTAAAGGTTTTGAAACATAATAGTCACTTGCTAAATGGTAAGTATTATCTTTATTTACCTGTATAAGTATACTATAGGACAAGTATGAAAAGTAGACTTGTTGGATCAAAATGTATGAGTGTATTTAATTTTGACATAAATCCTGCAAGATTATGCTTTAAACCAGATTTACTAATTTGTATTTGCACCCAAAATGTAAGAAAATATTCAGTATTCCACACCCTGTTCTTTTTAGTTTTTGTTAAGTTGTTCACACAAAAATGATATTTCTTTGTTATTTTAATTTGCACTTTTCTGGTTATTAATGAGTGAACAATTTTCATCTGTTGATTATCCATTTGTTCTCTGTTATTTGACTCAGTCCATATGTACAAATTGGGTGTGTGTTTATTTATGTGTGAGAATGTTTTATATATTTCAAATAACAATACTTTGTTTTCAATGCTGTTTGTTATCTATGTTTTTAAACTTCTTTGAAATCCTTACAGCAATTTTAAATTTTTATGTTGTCAAACTTGGCAACTTTTCCTTTGTGGCAGTTAGTTTCTATCTTTTTTACAAAGGTGTTTCCCCTTCTCAAGATTATGTCAGTATTTTCTTAGATGTTTTTCTAATATATGCTTTTTATGTTTACATGGGTTTAGTTCATTTATACTTTTTTTCTGGTATGAGGTAAAAATACACCGATATTTTTGTTGAAATAGATAGGCAGTTGCTTCAACAGAGCAAGCATCCTTAGAGATATTGCAGGTTTGGTTTCAGACCACCACATAAAGTGAATATTGCAATAAAGCAAGTTACATACGTTTTTTGGTCTTCCAGTGCATATAAAAGTTATGCCTACACTTACTGTAGTTTATTAAGCGTGCAATAGCATAATGTCTAAGAAATGCACATACCTTAATTTAAGAGTACTTTATTGCTAAAAAAAAAATGGTAACCATCATCTGAGCTTTCAGTGTTGTAGTCAATGATCACAAATCAGCACAAGTAGGATAATAATGAAAAAGTTTGAACTATTGTGTGAATTACCAAAATGTAACATAGAGACACAAAATGAGCAAATGCTCTTGGACAAATGGCACTGATACACTTGCTTGACATGAGGTTTCCACAAACCTTCAATATATTTTAAAAAAGCAGTATCTGGGAAGTACAATAAAGCAAAACATGATAAAATGAGGCATGTGTGTACATCTTAATTGTCCATAGAGTTAACATATTTTTGTCTGTCAGTATCCCTTCCTGAGGATATCATCCCTGCCCCAACTCTGATCCTTGGTGTAGTTGACAAACTTGATACTGATTCTGTGGCTATGAAGGTAAACATACAACTTGATATAAGAATATTAAGAGAAATCTTTATTCTTTTATAGCAAGAGCTAGCAATGGACTAAGAGAGAATGTATTAACAAAACCAACACAGAGGAAGAAAGATATGAAAAGATAGTGACTTGGTCACTTGAGTCGCTGGATTCCCCTTAGTTATATCAGCCAATTTCTGTCTTTTTTCTTTTCTTTTCTTTTTATTTTTTGAAGTATTTTATTTCTAAATAAATATATTTTATATTTTGGGTTATAATCCAATATGATGTTATTGTATGTGTGTATGTTTGGCCATTAGGAACTCTTTCAGTATGTCCTGTGTCCCTTTGAGATACCCCTATCCTTTTGTTTTTTGAGCACTTTCTTACTTTTTGTACTGTAAGATGTTCCAGGTCTAGCTTATACTTTTCTTGCTCCAGTACTAGAATCAACCATTTCTACAAGGATCCCTGGTTATTTTTGACAGAGAATGATACATAATGCTGCTGCAGTACTTTTAACTATATTTCTATGCTGCATCCTCATACAAAACGACTTACGTATTTTACACCTGGAAAATTGTTCCTCTTAATTCCCTTTATCTATTTTGCCCATCCCCCCACCAGTTTTTTCTCTGTATTTGAGTCTAGTTTTCTTTTTTTGGTTTGTTTTTTAGATTGCACATATAAGTGAAATCATACAGTGTTTGTCTTTTTCTGTCTGACTTATTTCACTTAGCATGATACCCTCTAGGTCCATCCATATTGTCAAATGGCAAGATCTCATTCTTTTTTATAATAATACCAATACTTTTACCACAAGTTACTGTTACTGTATTAGTGTTCTAATACATTAACTCATTTAATTCTCATAACAATACTGTAAAGTAGATATGTTTATTATATATGGGTGAAAGTTAAGTCATGGAGCAGCTAACTGATTAGTCTGAGGACATCTAGTAAGCAAGTGGTAAGCCTGGGTTTTGAACTGAGACAGATTGGCTCTGAAATCTGTACTGTAAACTAGTAAATTCTATTGTCTCTCATTGTGAGCCTGTACAAAAATTATTTAATCAATTTCCTATTAAAAATGCCCTATGAAATTCCCTCCCCCAACCCCTTGTGGGATTCTCTGTCTCTGTCTCTCTCTGCCCCTTGCTTGCTTGTACTCCCGCCCCCAAAAAAGTGAGTACAAGCCCTGCTTCAGGTCAGACTAAGCACTGCTTCAGATGAGCACAAGCCTTGGTTTTAGTGAGCTCTAGCCCTGCTTCGGGTGAACATGAGCCCCAGTTTGGGTAAAACATGACCCTTGGGTGAGTGCTGTTTCTATCTCTCTGTCTTCCTTTCTGTCTTTCTGCGCTTCGTGAGCTCTCTCGCTCTCTCATTCTCTCTCTGCCCCTCGCTCACTTGCTCACCTGCGCCCCCTCTCTCTCAAGAAACGAATGCTCTTTGTAGTTTTTTTTAAGTTTTAAGCTTTTATGTTCTCCTACCACTCAGCTTTTTAAAAAATGTTTACTAATTTTTAAGAGAGAGAGAGCGTGAATGGGGGAAGGGCAGAGACAAGGTGGTTTGGGACACAGAATCTGAAGCAGTCTCTAGGCTCCTGACCTGGGGCTTGCACCCACCAGCGGTGAGATCAAGACCTGAGCTGAAGTCAGATGCTTAACCAACTCAGCCACCCAGTCACCCCTCAGCTGTTTCTTTAATTAAAACTATACTCACACGGTCCCTCCAAAATCAGTCTGCACAGAAGGGTATAAAATGAAAAGTAAGTCATTCTTCCCCACCCATAGCCACACTATCAGTCTCACTTCCTCAAGACAACTACTTTTAACAGTTTGCTTTGTAATTCTTCCAGTAAGGTTTATTATAGTTTTAAATTATGTAGTTCAAACTCTTTATTATTTATCAGCTAATCAACTTCAGGTAGAATATGTTGCTATCACACTCTGAAAGATAATTTAGAGCATTTATAATATTTCAAATCTTCCTTCTACAGTGTTTTTTCTCAGTTTTATTAGACATTAGTTTTTGATTTTTCTAATGATTATAATGCTCTGATGAGTGTTTTTTGAAAAATTCTTTGTATGTAAACCTATAAGCATTATCTACCAATTTCCTACTATGAAAGATAAAAAAGTTTTTTTAATGTTTACTTATTGATTTTGAGAGAGAGAGAATGAAAGCAGGGGAGGGGCAGAGAGAGACTGAGAGACAGAATCCCAAGCAGTCTCCATGCCGTCAACACAGAGTCTGGTGCAGGACTTGAACCCACAAACCATGAGATCATGACATGAGCTGAAACCAAGAGTTAGATGCTCAATCAGCTGAGGCACCCAGGTGCCCCAAAGTAAATTTATTTTTTTAAGTTTCATTTTCTGGGGTGCTTGGGTGGTTCAGTTGGTTAAGTGTCCAACTTCAGCTCAGGTCATGATCTCATGGTTCACAAGTTTGAGCCCTGCGTCAGGCTCTATGCTGACAGCTCAGAGCCTGGAGCCTGCTTCAGATTCTATGTCTACACCCCCTTTTCTCTGCCCCTCCCCCACTCATCCTCTTTCTTGCTCTCAAAAATAAATAAAAACATTAAAATTTTTTTAACAGTTTCATTTTCCTGTCCCTTCCATTTTCTTTGTTATTGTTATTCCTATATTGTCATTTATTTTTCAAGGTGTCTAGTACATTGTATTGTTTTGCTCTAGTTAAATCTCCCATGCTTTGTTTCTAGATTGAGTCTATTTTAAATCTAAGAAAAATTAATTTATAATTGTTACAATATTTATGACATATTTTAATATATATAATATGGTATTATTATTTAAATGCTAATCTCTGTTGAATGAAACAGTGTATATGGATAAGTGTATACTTATCCATGAAAAGTAAATGTCACATTTCTGCTTCTAGTGAAGATGGAGTTCATAGGGACATGATTTATCTTTCTGCCTTAAACAATAAGAAAACCCTGGGAAAAATACAGAAAAGCAGTTTTCAGACATTGGGAAGGTGGCAGC